TTTTTATTAACTGGCGAGTATGTCTGTGCGTCCGCGAATGTTTATGTACAATTAATATTTATTATTAATTGCGTTAGACGTATTTCCTTTTCCTACATCATTTCGAACTTTCGAACTTTGTTGGGAACATCCATAGCATGTAGGTAGGTAAATGTGTTTTTCTAATTAATCCTGATCCAGTATTGAAATGTGTGCGCAATAAAATTAAGAAAACGATTTATAGGTAAATCTCGAGCATCTGTAGGATTTACATTCTTATTTACACTCATTGTTTACTTATTTTTAAAAAGATTAACGTTTAAGAGTTTATTTTTAAATTTAAATTTTAAATTGTTAAACATTTTAACCAAAAAAAAAAAAAAAAAATGTTTTTTAATGATATAAATGGGAAAGAATAATAATAAAAAAAAAAAAAAATAAATAAATAAATAAATAAATAAATAAAAAAAATATCTACAATTGATTTTTTCTTTTTCTACCCGGTCTAACGCAGAGAACTGATTGCGGTAGAATGCCATTTACAGTCTTTCCAGCCTTATTGGCCGCGAGTAAGCGCCTTTCATGGACCTTGCGATGCTTAGTTAAATGGTCAGAACGTGCGAAACATTTATTACAAAAATCGCATTTATACGGTTTAATGCCGGAATGCGAACGACGATGGCGAGCCAATTCATCGGAACGGGAAAACTTCCATGTGCAATTAGGCCAAGAGCAGACATATGGCTTTTCGCCCATATGACGTCTTAGATGAGCTTTTAAATGAGCTGGTTTCGTATAAGCTTTACTGCAATCTCTAAACTGACAGCAATAAGACTTTTCGGCATCATGGGAAAGCTCCACCGAGCCCATATATTGGGCAGGATGTAATCTTAAATTCTCTGAACTCTCTTGAAGGAAATCTTCGCAATTATCATTGCAAAGCGGTGTCTTATCGGGTAAAAAATCGACAAGTTCGGGAATTTCAACAAAGTTATCTAAGAATTTTTCCTCCCATTCGGATAGTTCCTCATTAATCATCATCATCGAAGGTAAATTTTTATCACTGCTTGTCATATTTTCAACATTTGAATACGAAGAGCTTAATAGATAATCTAAACTTTCTTGTAACAATTTTTCTTCTGCGATATGCGTCGAGTGAGGCAGGCAACCGGATACAAAATCATCTTCAAGTTGCATATTAAGGCGTTGCTCGATATTATTCTCATAATTTGTTAAATTTGTTATATAATCATCTGGCGGCTCTTTGTTAATATCATTTTGATTGATGCTATTGTTATTGGTGCTGATGCCGTAATGGGGCAAAAGCTGCCAATCCGTAACTTGTATATCTTGTTCCTCTAAATCCGAAAATAACTGCTGAAAGCTACCATCTACGAAAAAGTCCATAGTGATGGGTTGGCACGCGCGACTTTTTTGTTTATTTTTTTAATTCTTTTATATTTATTTTTAAATAATATTCTCAATTCAATTTTAGCGTAAAGAAGAAGCTGTCTTGTCGAACAGCGCTTGTAAATGTTATTGGAAAGTTTTTCGTTTTTGATTGTTTTTAAAAAATAAATGAAAATTTCAAATCCCGCTCACATGTATTCAGTGTCATGTTATTTCCATTCAATACTCATATCAGTCATAATTATTTTCCAATTTATTGACATATATTTGATTTTAAGTACATATATATATATATATATGTTAGCCTCTTGGGATTATTAAGGCTGAATATAAGCAGAGCATATACTATCTCTAACCTCTGCTCAATATTACAAATTTTATATAATTATATTTAAACTTATTTGCATTTGGCTTGCTGGCGTTGCTTTTGTCGATTCTATGCGTCATTAATGTTAGTTAATAAAAAGAATGAAAAAAAAGAAAATATCTAAAAATGATCAATTACGTTCATGGGAATGAATGGTCGGCTTTAGATATTTTTATTTTATGCTTTTTACTTTTTTCCAGGGCTGTACTGACTTCACGTTCACACATGGTTTTTAAGTCCACACCGTCTCTCATTAAAGATGTGATCTATTCGTTCATTTGTTCGCAACATCCCGAAATACGTTTTCTAAATCCAATACCGCGATAGAAATAATTTTTCTATTCTGCACGCGAGTGAAAAACATTTCAAAGGCATATGCGACACTTATAAACGTAGTTCATTTACTCAGAATTGGTGAAGTTTTCAAAATGACTTGATAGACAATTGCATATTAATGAAATGCCTGCAAATAGTTAAATGCAACAAAGTTAAGGGAATTATGAAAAAAAACAAAAAAAAAAAAAACACTCTGTGAAAAATAAATGTGAATCCATTCTTGGACGAACCATCCACATAAATGTGGCTACGAAAGATGATATAAAATCTATTAAAAGGCTGAACTGGCAAAAGTTAATTCAATGGCTCAGTCCATTCCGAACACATGACATGAAGCGCTAGGCTAAGCAAACGGACTTAGAGGAATGTACAGCTAACGTTAAGAATCGAAGAAGTTCGTACAAAGTTTACCAATTTATGCAAATAGTTGTATAGGAAGCTAAGCAACGCAACTGATCGATGGGGAACTGAAAAAACTTAGGCAGCAACTCCAAAGACTATTATATTTTATGTTATATAAATAACTGAAATAGGTTTAGCATTATAATAAAGATTTAATCGAGCATTGAATTTAATATTTAGGTAGACGAGCATCCAGTTGGTGACACTGTATCAATCCAGTGCAAGGAATCAGTACAAGCCCTTTTATAAAACTAAATCCTTTCACCTTTCCGAGGAATGATATTGAAAATGAATAATAAGCCCATCACTTATAGACAAGAAGACTTAGTTCACTTTACTCAATATTAGAATAATTATCAATAAGCTTGTATTTAATAAATAAATTTTTGTTTTTTTTTTTTTGTTTTCATATGACGGGTATCTATAATTCGCTCTAGGTCAGATGTAAATTTTTGAGTCTTTTTTTGTTTTGTGTGTGTGTATGTATGAGTGTGTGTGTGTGTGTGTTTGTGTGTGTGTGCTTGTTTTTTTTTTTTTTTTTTTTTTTTTTTTTTTTTTAATAAAGAATTTTTTGTACCAATCAGTAACAGGCGTTCATCTCGACTGTCGCCAAATTAATGCATACATTTTGCGTTGGAAATCGCTTTTAATTACACTCCTGAGTATTTGTTGTTATTCTCCATCGACTACGTTTTTGTACAGCAAACAGGAAGATACCTTTCAAAATCAAAATGATTTAAATAAAATCAAATAAAGAAGTCATATTCGCCTTGGCACCTTACATCAAATCTTAAATGATCATATATGATATAATATCTGGCTTGCGAAAATTAAACAAGAATATATGTATATTAAGCGATGATATTTTCGCAACTTTAAGAATTCTGTTAACGTATGTTCGGATATCCCGTCGATCAGGAATATGAATCTATCTCAACTGGTTTGAAAAACTTTGCACAATTTCAATATTGGATGCAGCCATGATTTATGTAAAGGTGAAAACCAAATGTTAACTTAATTTATTATTATTATTATTATTATAATTTTAGACTAATGAAATAAATTCTTAGACTAAAAAAAAAGACATTGAGCACTAGCAACACACGCTATCGGCTCTAATTTAATTTCGAAACACTTCCCTACGGTCTAACGCTTTGGAGATTCAGCTAGTACGAGTTGTGGATACGCATGAAATTTTTATTCAAGTTTATCAATCGATTTTACGTGTACTTATTAAAAATTTTTCAAAGTCTCTATGAAAAATTAATTTTATATTTACGTTTCTACGTAAAAACATACAAGAGTGAAGGTGAAAATATTTTTTATTTTTATTTTTTTTTTTTTTAATGGAAGAGGGGAGAAAGTTTTGCTAAAATAATTATTTTGTTTCGCTTAGCGTCACTGGTGAATAAAAATTTTGCCCAAAAATTGAACTCAAAGTTTAGTAAGGATACAATACTTGCTATTGATTATAAAAAGAAGACTCGTCAACTTGACGATATACTCGGCAAATTTCAATTTATCGAATAAAATTTTTGTTAAAACTTCAAAGTAATCGAATAAAATCAAAGAGTCAGCGGTACGACAAACTCGAACCGTGTACTTTCGTTAGTTGAATTCATGTTTCCCTCATCAAAGAAATGCAGCTTGCAATTAGTTTAATGATTTCGAATAGGTTGATAGGTGCGGTCGGAAATGTGTTTACAAATTTTTTATACCCCCCACCGAAAGATACATGTATACTTATTTTAGCATAAAACGAAGCTCCTGAGGTCCTATAATTAGCCACGACGACGAATCCTGATCAGCGCCAAACTCTGACTCGATCGAGTCATGCCTTTTCGTCTTTTGTATTTGTATGGATGTGCATTGTTGAAACTTTTCTTGATCAGCGCCAAACTCTGAATCGATCCAGTACATACGTATAGTACATATATATGTCATAAGTTTGATCAATATAACTAAATTTAAGTATAAATAAGTAAGTGTATGTGAAGATTAAGTTAATCTTATATGAGGTTTTTTGTTTTTCTTAAAATTATTCGTTTTGAAAACCTCATCAGATTGAAAGCGTGCAACCCGAGTGCCGTGTAAAGTTGAGGCGAGACTAATATGTGATGTAAGTTAGTAATAAATCAGTTTTTAAACTTTAAAAGATCTGATTTCTTTGGCCGATGTCTTCCAATTGTTGTGACTCCTCTGACAGTCAGAGAAATCTCTCGAATCTTTTTATCAAATATTTCTCTCCCCTGTAATGATAAAATATTATTTATTATTATCGTGAAAAGCTGGTTGCTCGATCCGATAATGGGAAAGGTCTTCTATGTATTTGAATGCTTGAGGTATTGCAAAATAAACCTCTAATGGACCATAAAGAAATAACGCCTGATTGAATTGTGGTAGCATTATGATGAACTTGATTTTCAAAAGTCGAACAAGTTTCTCTACCTAATAATCGAATTTGAAATAAGTTAAAAGGAGCAATTGGTAGAAGAGAGAGGTCATATTAGATCATTTTCGGTTGCAGGGTGTAGTCTTCTAAAAAAGATTTTTTATTATAATCGCAAAAATGTAGAGTGCAACTACATAAATTTGAAAAATCCTTCATTTTTCTCGTGGGAGATCTCGTCTCGGTTAAAAAACGAAGCTGCTCTACTTATTTTTTACGGATACCTTCTCTGATGTAAAGAAAAAATGGAAAAAGTGGAAGTGAGTTTACTAGACTAGAGCACACATCGAGTACTGCATGTAATATTTCAAAATTTCATAGTGACTTTTACTTATATGGAAAACTTTCACATATCTATAAGCAAATTTTTTGCTTCCATCTCTACATCTCGGAACCAAAGAGCATAATTTTGATTCCTTTTTTTTTTTTTTTTTTTTGAATCCCCAGAGTCGCAAAAATTTGACACAATCCACTGTCAGAACACGGTTGTGATGTGTCCACATGCATGTGCACTATGGATTGGAAACAGAGACAAACTTGAAAATCCAAGGAAAATTTTTTTCATATTATTATCTATAAGTTTGAAAGTCGGGAAAGTATTTTGGGAAATTTGCTAAGCAAATGTTTCTTCTTAAAACGCATTACAATACGGAAGGATACTTCTGTATGCGCCTACACTAATATTTACACAGCGTTCCTAAAGGTCTTACTTAAAACGTTTATCAACGCACGCACAAATATATTTTGTCATTAATTCTTAAGCATATCCGAGCAATATAGTTAATGCAATAATAGCAAGCAATGAACTAAGGCACAACATAATAGAAATGTTGTTCATTTTTATAGCAACATAGTCCAGTGACTCCAATGACCTAAAGTAGTTTCGATAGGTTGATTTTAACTCTTTTTTTTTTTCTTTGAATTGAAAATTGAACCATTTCATTGCACACTTGCCACACTTCACACAAAAATCAATATATTTCAAAAATCTTATACCATTCACTAGATGTACGAATGTAATTAAAACGATTACTTTTCTTTCATTCAAATTTGAAAGAGAGCCATTTGAGCTGGAGACGTCTCCGTAGGATAGCTACGGTGTTGCCATTCTTTAATATACCACTAAAACCTTTTTTTTTTTTGAATACTCAATTATTTGGCTAATAATCTTACCAGATGTTATTATTCTATTACCTTTTGTTCCATTCAAGCAAAATTAATGAATATCGAATGACTCTCTTGTAGGTTAGTTGCAGTGCCATTAACCCAATTAAAGTGAGCTATAAACGTCTTAGAGCGAATTTTACATATTCGTGATGTTAGATTTCCTGTTACATGCTGACGGAACGATGGACACCGTTCTCCTTAAATTTTTGCAAAACTTTGAGTAATATTCAAATTAAATTTCATGACGTTCCTTTCAGATACTTCTACTTTCACTTTAATTTAACACACCTACTTTATTTAGTATTCAACCTATAGAACCCTTACCCTTCTGTAATTTTAACGACAGACAAATTGATTTATACATTTCATTGACTAAATTTCTTTTCACTAATAGGCGCAAAAAAAAAAATATTTTTAATTTTTTTTTGTTTTTTTTTTTTTTTAATTTTAACATAATTTTTATTTAAAATTACATGAATATTTTTAATTCATCTATAATGTAAATCGAAAAAACAATTTCCTGTTATATGTTTATGTATAATTTTTATTTTATATTGTTTTTGTTTGGTTTTCATTCACTTATAATTATTTAATAGAAAAATTCGCTTTTAATGAAATTTTAACAATGAAAACCTAGGCAAAGATGAGAAGAAGATAAAATGAAGAGAGAGATTCAGTTTTCTTTGTGAACATTATGATAATAATAATTTAAAAAAAAAAACAGATAAAAGAGAAGAGAAGAAATTATATATTATTTATGTGTATAACATTATTAAATATAAATCACATTTCATTGAGAAAGAGAAAATGATGAAAGAAAATTTAAAAGATAAATGAAATTGAAGGAAAACATTTTCTTTGGAGATTTTATATAAGTTCAACTACTACCACTACAACACTTATATGGGAGAAGGAGTCGGTTTTGTCTTCAATTTATTTTATTATTTTTTTGTTTTGTCAGCAAATTTAAGCCATTATTTATTTGAATGCATGTTATTAAATTCTTGTTTTTTTAAAAAGTTAATTCTTTAATAAATTGATGTTTTTAGCATTTTACAATTGTTCCTTTTTTTGTTGTTTTTTCTTTTTTTGTTTTGCTTTTTTTATAAACATTTTAAATATTTTTTATTAAATTTAAAAATTTCTTTTAGGAATGTTTTTAATCTTTAACAAATATTATATATATTTTTTTTTTAAAAATATATTTTCTTTGTTTTAAATAAATGGCCACTAAATTTTTTTTTTATAAAAATTATTCATTTACAATAGAAATTTGTTTCGTTACAAAGTCAATTATTATCATCACTCATACTTTAGAATTTGTTAATGAGTAGTTAGTTGTAAATATTTAATTGGAAAAAATATATTAAAAAGAAATTCTTCTTGAAAGTCAATCGTTTATACTTGAACGACAGAGTACATATGACTAGGGGGCGCCGCTTACTCTTATATGTACATTTACATATATATAAATATATATATATATACATATATATAACTATGACCTTGCATTAGGTTCCAAGCCCAATAATGATGAAAAAAAGACCCTCGTCTAACAGGCTAACAGATGATGTTAAAACGAAGATCTTACTCTTAATCTTAAAATCGTAAGTCAAGGTATAAGACTTGGAAAATATATTTTTTTTTTTCTTTTCTTGAGAATAGCTTTGGAATTTTTAAGTGGCTTTAGTGAAAATATGTAAAAATTTTTAAATATTGTAAATGAGCGACGCCAATTTTTGAACTTGATAGAATGCTTAATCCCGCGCTTATTTGATATAGACAATTGTTTTTTTTTTTGCCTTTGTTTGTCCTTTAAAAAGTTCCAAATTTATATTTCTGAGTAGAATTAGAAAAGATCATCATTGATTATTAGGCATAAGAAGGAAAGAAAGAACTCATATATGCGAAAATAAAATTTTGAATGTGAAACGCCTACGAACACCAAATTTATTTGCGAATGGAGCCTTTCGTTTGGTTAAAGAA